TGAATGTGAATGGCCTAAATACTCCACTTAAAAGATACAGAACTGCAGAATGGATAAGAACTCACCAACCAGCTGGGGGTGGCGGCAAATACCTGTAATCCCAGCCACTCAGGAGGCTGAGGCTGGGGAATCACTTGAACCCAGGAGATGGAGGTTGAGGTGAGCCAAGATCACACCATTGTGCTCCAGCCTGGGTGACAGATAAAAAAAAAAAAAAAAAAAAAAGATAATCCACCATGATCAAGTGGGTTTCATACCAGGGATGCAGGGATGGTTTAACATATGCAAGTCAGTAAATGTGATATACCACATAAACAGAATTAAAAATGAAAATCAGTGATCATTTCAGTAGATTCAGAAAAAGCATTTGACAAAATCCAGCATCACTTTATGATTAAAACTCTCAGCAAAATCGACATACAAGGGGCATACCTTAATATAGTAAAAGCCATCTATGACAAACCAACATCCAATGTAATACTGAATGGGGAAGAGTTGAAAGCATTCCCTCTAAGAACTAGAACAAGATAAGGATGCCCACTCTCACCACTTTTCTTCAACATAGTACTGGTAGTCCTAGCCAAAGCAATGAGACAAGAAAGAAATAAAGGGCAACCAAATAGGTAAAGAGGAAGTCAAACTGTCACTTGCTGACAATATTATTGTTTACCTTGAAAACCATAAGGCCTCCTCCAGGAAGCTCTTAGAACAGATAAAATAATTCAGCAAAGTTTCTGTATACAAGATTAATGTACACAAATCAGTAGCTCTTCCATACATCACCCATCTATACATCAACAGTGACCAAGCAGAGAATCCAATAAAGAACTCAACCCCTTTTATAATAGCTGCAAACATATATATATATATATATATATATATATATATATATATATGAATATACCTAACCAGGAGTCAGAAGGCCTCTACAAGGAAAACTACAAAACACTGCTGAAATGAATCAGAGACAACATGAGCAAATGGAAACACATCCCATGCTCACGGATAGATAGAATCTATATTGTGAAAATGACCATACTGCCAAAAGCAATCTACAAATTCAACAGAATCTCCATCAAAATACCACCATTATTCTTCACAGTATTAGAAAAAGCAACTTTAAAATTCATATGGAACCAAAAAGAACCTGCATAGCCAAAGCAAGACTAAGCAAAAAGATCAAATCTGGAGGCATCACACTACCTAATTCCAAACTATACTATAAGGGTGCAGTCATCTAAACAGCACGGTACTGCTATAAAAATAGGCACATAGACCAGTGCAACAGAATAGAGAACCCAGAAATGAACCCAAATAGTTATAACCAACTGAAGCAAACAAAATGTAAAATGGGGAAAGGACACCCTTTTCAACAAATGGTGCTGGGATAATTGCCTAGCCGTATGTAGGATCCTTATCTCTCACCTTATACAAAAATCAACTCAAGATGGATTAAGGACTTAAACCTAATACCTGAAATCATAAAAGTTCTAGAAGATAACATTAGAAAAACTTTTCTAGACATGGGCTTAGGCAAGGATTTCATGACCAACAACCCAAAAGCAAATGCAATAAAAACAAAGATAAATAGCTGGAACCTAATTAAACTAAAGAGCTTTTGCACGGCAAAAGGAACAGTCAGCAGAGTAAACAGACAACCCAGAGTGGGAGAAAATCTGCACAGTCTATACGTATGACAAAGGACTGTCACAGTCTGTACACCTGACAAAGAACTAATACCCAAAATCTACAACGAACTCAAATCAGTAAGAAAAAAAACAAACAATTCCATCAAAAATGGGCTAAGGACTTGAATAGACAAGTCTCAAAAGAAGGTATACAAATGGCCAACAAGCATGAAAAATGCTCAACATCACTAATGATCAGGGAAATGCAAATCAAAACCACAGTGCAATACCACCTCACTCCTGCAAGAATGGCCATAATCAAAAAATCAAGAAACAATAGACGATGGCATGGATGTGGTGAACAAGGAGCACTTCTGCACTGCTGGTAGGAGTGTAAACTAGTACGGATGCTATGGAAAACAGTGTGGAGGTTCCTTAAAGAACTAAAAGTAGAACTGCCTTTTGATCCAGAAATTCCACTACTGGGTATCTACCCAGAGGAAGTCATTATTTGAAAAAGATACTTGCACATGCATGTTTATAACAGCACAATTCACAATAGCAAAATCGGGGAATCAACCCAAACACTCATCAATCAATGAGTAAAGAGACTGTGATATATATATGTACACACACACACACACATGCCCACATATATATACATATACATAGATATATTCATATTTATACATACATATATATATATGATGGAATAGTAAGAAGCCATAAAAAAGAAATGAATTAACAGCATTTGCAGTGACTGGATGAGATTGGAGACTATTATTATACTAAGTGAAGTAACTCAGGAATAGAAAACCAAACATCATATGTTCTCACTGATATGTGGCAGCTATGCTATGAGGACGCATATGTGTAAGAATGATTTAGTGGACTTTGGGGACTTGGGGGGAAGAGTGGGAGAGGGGCAAGGGATAGAAGGCTATAAATATGGTGCAGTTTATACTGCTCTTGTGATGGATGCACCAGAATCTCACAGATTACCGCTAAAGAACTTACTCATGTAACCAAATACCACCTGTACCCCAATAACTTATGGTAAATAAAAAAATAAAAGTAAAAAATAGAATTATGTATTCACTTAGATATTTGCTATTTTCAATCTTCCCAACTGGTATATTAGCTCCATGAGGGCAGTAACATGTCTATTATGTTCATCACTGTGTCTCTTGCCTATGGTGTCTAGCTCAATAAAGGGGTTAATAAATAAATGAATGCATACAACATGAAAAGAGATACAGTGAAAACCGTTAAATAGCCCCAGAAATAAGTATACTGATAGAGATGATATTGAGGAGACAGGCTGAAGGGAGCGAAGGGTATGTGTTAAATAAATTCCTATACTTATTCTAGCAAAGTGAGTTGTCAATCTCAAATTTTTATCTGAGTGTCCTGCCAATTATGATGTGGGTATTTTAAAGCTTCTTTCATTTGTAACTCTATTTATTTTTATGTTAGTAAAAGAAGCTTTCCAACTTGTGCTTAATGATGGCTCAATATTACTAGCTTTGTTTTCTAATCTCTTCTCATTCAGATAAATGATCCCAAATGAGCTATAATTTTGTCTCATCACCATACTCATAATTCATATATTAAGTGCTATGTGCCAGGTACTTTATAAGTATCATCTCATTTAATTTTTACAGGAGTCATAAGAAGGAGATGATCATATCTCATTTTACAGATCAGAACACTGAGGCTTAGAGAAGTCAGCTACTCCAAAATTGTGTAGGCAGTATTTTCTGGAGCTGGAATTCAAATCAGATGTGTTTGATACCTTCTACTACCCCACTGCTGTCTTTGTGGTGAGTTATTTTAGTATGCATTAAGAAATACATGAAATATGTTTGATGTAGATAAAGTATTTCTATTTTCTTTATTACGCAGCAAAGAAACATTTAACTCAAAATTTTAAAGCTAAGAAACTTTTTTCTGAGTAAATCAGAAAGGATGTATTCTTCAGCTATTTTTCTAAATAAAGCATTAAAAAGGATGAAATATTTTGACACACAGAAAGGCATACAGACTAGTATAATAATACCTTTGTTCTTACCACTTATCTTGAAATAAAATCTTACTGGTACAGTTCAAAGGCCCTTGTGCATTCTTCTCCGGGGTCATTTTCCTCTCTCTCCTCAGTAGTAAACCGCTGTCTCAACTTTATCCTATCCTTGCTTCTTGAGTATCTTGGCAATAATCTGGTGGCTGAGTGTTGAATGGATATGTGGTACAGTGGCAATTAATGTTATTCTTTTTCCTGAAGAAACTTAGCTTATTTCTTTGCTTTTGTTGTTTGCCAGTCTTCCTGGTTGACTTCCGATTTGTAACAGATGGCGCCATGACGCTTGGAATTCTCCCCATCATATCGTATAACGTGGGAAAGGATTGAAAATATATGTTTCAAAGCCGATATCTTTGGGACGAAGGATCAGTTCAATAGTTGGTGTTTTTAATCTCATTATGATCTGAAGTCAGAGTAGAATGAAGAGCCTTAATGCAAATAATCTTGAGTACCTCATGACTGAAATTTTTAAAGATGAATGGGTTAGGCTCAAATTCTGGTCAAATTTCAGGTGGATGAACACATTCTGTGTTTCCAACATTTTCCTTGAATTTTAGAAGTATAGGATTCTTTGCACTATCTATGCATAAGAGTGTCTTGTGAAAGATTCCTGGCAGGGTTAGAGTGTAGTTTTAGGCTTGGTTACATGAGAGGTCTTTTTTCCCCCAAATCTAAGGGAAAAGACTTCCTCAAGTTGGCAAAGAATTGAAATAGGCATCTCTAAAAAGACAGAAAGACAAAAGCAAAAAATAAGGACAATATGTTGCTAATTAAGATGCAAAATGAAGTGTAACTGGTTTAGTGTAACTGATTTATATGAAACATAAAGAGATTTTTAGGGAATGATAAAAAAGAGGAAAATAGGTAATAAAATGAAGGAGAAGCAAGAATTGTGATTGTGATACAGTTTGGGGACTGGAGCTAAGAAACTGCTCTTGGAAATAAATGCCTGAGACACAAAAATATCTTGGAAAGATGACGGTGAATGACTAGAAAATACCAAAGACTGGCTCTTAGTATCTGTAACATAGTAAGTACTCATTACTTAATTGATGAATTACTGATAAAATCTCATCAATTACAGGCATATGTTCGTGTATATTATAGCATTTCATATATGAAAATATAATTTATCTGCATAGTATTTTATTAAGGAATTTATTTTTTAAAGTTAATTCAGATGCTTATATTTTTGTCATCTTAAAAGTAGTTTTTTCTGTTATGCAAGATGAATGATTTTAAAAATATATGTAAAGATTCTTTTGCTGAAGTTCAAGTTACCAAATATTATGCATAAATTCTTTCATAAAACTAATTTTGTTGAATTTTTCACAAAAAGTGCAACTACTAAACATTCTTATGATAGCTTCTTTGTGAATGTGTCACTGTTCTTGATTTGCACACGCCTTATAATTTAGGCTTTCTTTTGTTTTGGGCTGGCAGCTCCAACTGTTAAAGCTCTTGTCTGATTATGTGGAACTCCATTTTAATAGGAGCAGCTTCTTTGCTGCATTTTTAAAAAATGGTCTTGGAAGCTTCTTATTTCCGAGAAATGGATCTTTGTTGGGGACAAAGGATTATTTATGCTGAAGGAAAATGTATTCCCCACTGAATTAGCTCGTGGGAAGCATAACAAGCTCATTAGTAATGCTCACTTGTACTTTGGCCTTTTGCTGTGGTGGAGAGAAGAGAAAATGACATTCAAAAGGACATTCTGTTGTCTTTTGCCTTCCTGAAAAGAAAATGTCTTATAATATTAGGTTTTTCAGTATGGTTTAGCTCAGGTTGAACTTTGGTACTAGAAGAAATATTCCTGAAAGGAAAGTGGTATGTATAGTTGACACTGTGCATGAGGTATGTCTGATATAACTTAGAGGAAAAAATAACTTTTTATTGGAAAGTAATAGCATTATATAGTATTATAATTACTGTATATTTTTTCTTAAAATGTTTTAAAGGAGGTTTATAGTAAAAATAAACTAGTTTATGCTGCTATAGCAATAAAAAAATCCTAGATTTTATATATGCTATATTATTGAGTGTTTTTAAACTCTTCACTTTTATCCTTCTGAAAATATAGAAAAGAATTGTAATTACCTAATTCAATAAATTAAAGTATATTTTTCCATGTAGATTTCAGGAATACTACTTGGGAGCTAAAATTGCTGTTTCTTTTTTTTTTGTCTTTGGAAAATTATTATAGGAAGGCATTGTGCCTTTTGGTTCACAGTTTACCTTGTTTAACAGAATAAGCGTATAGTTAAGTTTATTAATTTATGCAAAGTCCATATGACCTGTTATGATTTTGATGACAGAAGATACTTGACTTTTAATATCAGTTGTTGTAATATTTATACTTACATTATGTTCACAGGGAAAAATAAAATTCTGGGAGACTTTCATATGAGCTAAATTTTGTTGTTGATTTTTTTTCAAAACTGTCCAGATGGTTCAAGAATTACTTTGATGTTAATGCCAGAAACTACATATTATATTAAAGTCTGTTTCAGGTTTTACTTTTCAAATGAGTAGTCCTTTATGAAGTAAGAAGCAAGGAGTGATATGAATTCTCTTGTAGTCAGGCTATTCTAACTAGAAGAAAAGTTTTGCATTTGCAGACGAATAAATATGTTCCTAAATCTTATAATTTGGGGGTTTGGAAAGTAACAAAACTTGCATTGTTAACTGTATGTTAATATTTTGTTCTTTTTTCAGAAAAGAAATTTCAGTTCAATATAGGTGACTATGCAGCCTGCAATTCAAGTAAGTTTTTTCTTGGAAAAAATATTTAAATTATGAGATTAATATAATTGAACTATAATTAGCAAACACAAGATTATCACAAAATGTTTATTGTGCTAGTTTTTTAAAGCATCACGTTTTTTTTGTTTTTGTTTTTTGTTTTTTTTTTGAGACAGTGTGTTGCTTTGTTGCCAGGCACCAGGTTGGAGTGCAGTGGTGCTATCTTGGCTCACTGCAGCCTCCGCCTCCCGGGTTCAAGCAATTCTCCTGCCTCAACCTCCTGAGTAGCTGGGACTACAGGCATGTGCCACCACTCCCAGCTAATTTTTTTATTTTTAGTAGAGATGGGGTTTCACCATGTTGGCCAGGATGGTCTCAATCTCTCAACCTTGTTATCCACCCACCTCGGCCTTCCAAAGTGCTGGGATTACAGGCATGAGCCACTGCACCTGGCCTAAAGCATCACATTTTAATAACAGAAATACTATATTTTGACTTTCTAGTTCTCAAAAACTTTTACTTCTAAGCTTTTGTTTATACTAAATATTTGTAAAATTCAAAAATACTTTAGGGTTATCTCTTCTTGGCCTTTTGTCTAAAATCAAGTGTAAAAGTATCTTAGGGTTGGCAGGTCTATCTTATTTATACCACTGTGGGAAGAGGTGAAATACTCTGTGGTTTTTTCCCCCTCATTACAATTTAGCATGCATTTACGGTTAAAAGAACTTTCAGTGAAAACAAATGTATGTTTTAAAATTTTAAGTAGTTGTTCATGTGCTCTATAAATGTCTGTATATGACTAGGCATTAAAATTTTAAAGAGTGGGTTTTTTGGTGGAGGGATACAAGCTGGGTGTAATGAGACAACCAAAATAACCTTATATTTGAGTGATTTCCAGAGTTATTGTTTGCTATATTATTCTTATTTTTAGATTTTCTTTCTTTTGTATAAATAGAACATGATTGAATATTAACTTAAAAGTCACACTGAAGATCTGCCTGGAAAGAAGCAAGCAACTGATAATAAAATGTGCTTTGGGAAGTAAAAACTTGGATTAATTAGATTTCGATTCTGATCATAGTTCTGTCCCTCTGACTCCAAGATTCTGGCAAGTTATCTTACCTCTGAGTCTCTGCTTCCTTACCTCTATGGTGAGGATAATAGTGATTAATTTGCAGGATAGTTTTGAGGAATCAGTTTGATAACGTGTGCAAAGGGCCTGCTAGAATATATATTGCCTATATTGCCTGCAAGCACGTCAGAAGTTTGATTGTATCCTTGGTATGATAAAACTGTCCAGATATAAACCTAGAGATAGTATCTATGTCGTAAAAGTCAGTTAGTCTTTCCTCCTCCTCCTCCTCCTCCTCCTCCTCCTCCTCCTCCTCCTCCTCTTCCTCCTCCTTCTCTTTCTCCTTCTCCTCCTCTTTTTCCTCCTCTTCTCTCCTTTCCTTTCTCTTATCAATATAACAGTGGATGATAGCCTAGAGAAGAGAATTTATCAAATAGTTAGGAACAGCCCTGCATGTGACCCTGTTGTACACCTTCCTATACACTGCATCTATAATCTCCTATCCTACTAATAGAGTTCCATCATACTGTTTTTTTGGGGACTGGGGAGTCCATGACTAACTCCCAAAAGGTCTTATTCTTTACCTTTGGGTCCTCTCACATTCACTTGCATTTGCTCAGAGCTGTGTTATTACTCAAAATCATTTTTGAACTGATTACTTATGTTCATCCTGTTTTTATCCAAGTCTTAGCAATGTCATTAGTTTCTTATCACTTATATTTTCTTGATTCCTTATAGAGTTTTTTTTTTTTAATCATTGCCACATTGCCCATGTTTTTTCTCATTTCTACACTAATGGCTGTTAGTATTTTCTTAACATGGTAGATTCACAGTTTGTCTAATGGTTTCATAAAATCTTCTCTGATCCAGATTCCAAGAGCTGTCTTCATTGATTTTTTTTTTCTAGGACTATTCTCCCTTCACATGTCTCATGGAGGTTTTTGCTGTTGAATGTGAGGACTTCCCAGGATTTCTACCTCTTTCTCTGCCAATTATATTAGACAGCTGCTTGGTTATTAAGTGCCTTGCAGAGAGGAGACATCAAGTGAATAGCTGTTATCAATTGATGTCTTATTAATTTAATACTTTAAGATAGTTCTTGTCATTCATCTGTGTCCTTCATTCTGGTTAATAAATATATAGTATAAAAGCCAGTGAACAATAGTTCTTAACCTTTCTGGGGTCATAGTTCCGTTTGAAAATCTAACAAAGGCTATGAAATCACTCTCTGTGAAAACGCTCATTTAGACATAGGCATAAAATTTTGACTAAGTGTAAGCAAGTGCATGTACCTAAGTTAATCTGTAGAGTTACCTATGAATTAAATGTCTCTTAATGACAATATGACAACTTTCAGCATGTTTGAGAACAACCTTCATACGTGCAGTTTTGGTTAATATCTAATTTTTAATACTAATTTCTGCTGACTAGCCCAGGTGATTACTAAAGTTGTCTGCTTGCCATAATAGGAAAATACAACATGTACTCTTCTCTCTAATGTGATAAGAAGTAAGAATGACTTTTTTTTAAATGTTAGCTTCTCCATTTTCATACATGATTTAAAAAAACCACCCTCTTAATTCATGCTCTTCTTTCCTTGACAAACATTTACATCTGCTCTGCCTTTTTTCAGCTCAGCCAGATGGTTAATGAACAAATAATATATTCCACTGACTGTCAAATACAATTGATTGTAAGATACTTTTTGATTTTGATGGTACAAAGAGTCATATGCTAATATCTATTCCTCAATTATTGAACGAATATGTTTGAATACTATGTGCTAAGCATTAAACTGAGTCCTAGGATTGCAATAGAAGTAAGACATGCTTATAAAGAGAAGAATTAGTAAAGCTTTACTGTACTTCCTTGGAAATAATTTTAAGAGAATTCAGAGAAATAAATAACATAATTTTCCTATTCATAGGATCCTCATATATTTAGGAATTCATTTCCCAATCCCTACCCTAATTCCTGAAGTAAATGTCTCTTAAATAGCTTACATTTCCTTTTTGTCTTTGACAGGGTTTGTAAAAAAAAAATTAGATTTCTCTACCCCCACATGCCTTTTGTGTTTATTCATTTTCTTTGTTTGCCTTGGGATTAAAAAATATAACTCACTTGTTTCTCATTGTAGGAGGTTGGAAGTAGTTTCCCCACCCCACCATCCCCACCACCAGTTTGTCTGCATTACCTGTAGTACTGCTGTGACTTTTGATCTGGTGTAGTAAGACTTGTCTCAAATGAAGCTCAATAAGTTTAATACATTTTAAGGGGAAAATGGTCTATATTTAAAAATCAAGAAAAGACTAGATTCACTTGGTATTCCTTTTACCTAAACTTTTTTTTTAATAAGTTAAAAAAAAATGTTTTAAAGCCATCACAAGTGTAGTACAGAGAAATTTGTTTGCCTGAGCCATTTGAGAGGAAGTGGCAAATCTAATGCTCTGTTACATCTGGATATTTTAGTGTGTATTTCTCAAAAACAAGGACATCTTCCTACACAACCACAATGAAATAATTAGAATCAGGATATTAATGCTGCTGCAGTACTACCATTTAATACGCAGACTGCTTTCAAGTGTTGCCAGTTGTCCCAGTAATATCCAGTTCAGTTATGTGTTGCATTTAGTTTTCATGTCTCTTTAGTTTTCATTAGGCTGAAACAGTATGTCAGTCTTTGCTTGTCTTTAATTACTTTGATACTTTTTAAAAAAAATGCAAGCTCAAGATTTTATTGTCTTCATAAAAGAAAAGCTGAGACTTAGAACTGGATCACTTGGCCTTTTCTCTTCTTATCTCCTCCCACTTCAAAATGCTTGCATCTTTTACTGGCCAGCATTCTCTTAGATCTGCACTTGGGCTCAACACACTCAAGCCTTAGCACAACCTTCTTTGTAGTTTTAGCCTTTTTCTGGAAAATCACCTTAGTTTACCCACCTTAGCCAGTCTGCTTTCTGTCATAACACTGCTTTTCCTGGCCATACAGAGAATCCTTGCCCTTCTTGTACTGTGTCACTTTGTGGGGTTGGTGCTTGCCACACTTCTTGCAGAAAGTCTGGCAGGTTTTTAGGAACGTTCATCATGTTTGCCTGAGCGCCCTCAGTACAGAAAGCAACTCCAGACCAGTTACTTTGTAGAAAGCCCCTCAGTTTGGTTTTGCTTGACATTTTTTCATGATTAAACTCAGGTTATGCATATTGGGTAGCAATTTTTCTCATTGCATCCTATCAGGTGGCATACGATTTTGATTTGTTCCATTATTGATGGAGTTCACCTCCATCATTAGGTTACAATGCTGTCTGTCAGATTTCTGAACTGTAAAATTACTCTTTTTCCCTTTGTAGTAAGTATTTTTTGTGCAGGTACTTTGAAACTGTGTAAAAATTCCATTCTTGTTAAAATTTCAGTGTGTTCATTTATATCTGTATTAACTCACAGTTTCCTATTTTATTCAGTGTAATGTAATCCATTTCTGTCATTTATCTCAATGCTCAAATTGCCCTCAGTTCAGCAGAAGTCCCTTCATGCTGGCTTAGGTATCCTTTTGGCACTCTTTGAGAGTTTCTTTGCTTTCAGATAAGAGATATTCTAATTCAACACCAAAGGATTCATTCTTACTTCTCTCATTCCATGTTTGAACCTCTCTTCAATGAGAAGATTGGCTCCCATTTGATTAATCCTCATGTGTTGATAAATTCTCCCATTGTTGCTGCCACCTGCACCCTGGGTAGATGCTCAGCTCACTTGGACTCTGGCACTCTGTATTGGAATGTTCCCCCTTTGCCCCCAAGTGGATGCCTTCCTTATTCTACTCAGGGTCTGACATCTTGCACAGGGCTGCCCCCATACCCAGACGCCCTCTCACCTCACTCAAGCTCTGAGTCTCCATTCCAAGCCACCCAGCTCTGAAAATCTCCTATGCATTTCACTTGGGCTCTAATAATATTATTTCTTTCTAAGTTGTTCAAGAAGGGGAAGGACAAGAGATATTTATATCTGTTTTAAAAAAGGTGACTTTATAATGACATGATTGCTTTTATAATCTGAAGAATTGATACAGCCTTTTCTATAAATAATCTTACATTAAAGAATCTCTAATTGTATTTCAAAATTTTGCAAATGTTGATTATAACATCTGTAAAATTATAGATGAATTTTATATTCATAGTGAATTTATAGTGAATTGGCCAGATAGTATTTCATGCTTTGTGGGCCAGTAGGCAAAACTGAGATATTATGCAGTTACTTACCTAACAGCTTTTTTTTTTTTTTTTCTTTTTTTAGAGACAAAGTCTCACTCTATCACCCAGGCTGGAGAACAGTGGTGTGATCTCAGCTCACTGCAACCTCTGCCTCCTGGGCTCAAGCAATTCTCCTGACTCAGGCTCCCAAGTAGCTTGGACTACAGGCTCATGCCACCATGCCTGGCCAATTTTTATATTTTTAGTAGAGACAGGGTTTCACCATATTGGTCAGGGTGGTCTTGAACTCCTGACCTCGTGATCCACCTGCCTCAGCCTCCCACAGTGCTGGAATTACAGATGTGAGCCACTGTGCCTGGCCTCATAACAGCCATTTTAAAATTAAAAATTATTCTTAGCTTCTGGGTTTACAAAATCAGGTGAGACTAGATTTGTCCCATGGACTATAGTTTGCCACCCACTTGTTTTAAACTATTTAGAAATTGTTTTTTTTAAGATAACACTGTTATTGTGATTTGAAGTTTTCAAAATGCTATTTATTCATTCAGCAAATGTTGATTGAGTCTCTTCTATCTGCTGGGCTCAATGCCAGATGCTACAAAGGTATATTTTATGAGGCAGGACCCATCTTACAGCTAAGATATTAAAACTCTGGTCAAGTAACTTGTTAAGCTTACTCAGATAACAAGTGAAGGAAAAATATTATTTGTTGAATTGTACCCTCTTGGCTCAATAGTAGAATCCATTAATTAATTAGGGGTTTTCTTACATTGACCACAATATTGAATATTCAAAATGTCTTGGACGAGTGCAGTGGCTCATACCTATAATCCCAGAACTTTGGGAGGTGAGGCAGAAGGATCACTTGAGCCCAGGAATTCAAGATCAGCCTGGGCAACATAGGGAAGCCACATCTCTGCAATAAATAAAATTTAAAAATTAGCTGGTGGCATGTGCCTGTGTCTCAGCTTCTCAGGAGGCTGAGGTGGGAGGATTGCTTGAGCCTGCGAGTCGAGGCTGCAGTGAGCCATGATCTCATGACTGCACTCTAGCCTGGGCAGCAATGAAACCCTGTCTCAAAGAAAAAAAAAAAAGAAAGAAAAGAAAATGCTTACATGTCTAGGACTAATAGTTTACTTCTAATTTATATATTTGCTGTGAGCTACAGAAGTTTTTTATATGTGTGTATTATGTATGATTTGCGCGTCATCATTTAAATACTATTGTGGATTATGATGACTTTTAGCAAAAGTTATGTTCATTTGGTTGATTGTTTTATTTTTCCTTAGGTATGGTTTGGAGAAGATCTGCCTCTAAGTCCACGGAGTCCTCTGACTCCCAGACATGGACCAGGATTGGCTAATGTTTGTCAGTATGATGAGTGGATAGCTGTGAGGCATGAAGCCACTCTGTTGCCCATGCAAGAAGATCTGTCAATCTGGTTATCTGGTTTATTAGGTAAGGCTTGAAACAATACCCAAAATTGAATTATCTTATTCAATATGTATTCATTGAGAGCCTTACTCTTTTTCAAGGAGTGATTGTTGTAGATGCTGGGGATACTCTAGTGAGTATTCAATGCCCTTGCTCTCACCAAGCTTACATTTCAGCTGGGGAAATACTCTGATTCACTCTGAATCTTGGGGCTTGAATGGTAGGAAATTTGAGATTTAACTGAAGAGGTCTGTAAGCTTTGAATAATTGACATTTTCATTGTTAATATTAAGATAATCTTTAAAAAGTGTATTGGTTGAATTTTTTTTTACTGATTTCTCCCCTACCCACCTGAGTCTTTTATAAGCCATGAACTTTTGAGTGAAACATAAACTGTAGGAAAAATGATTACAATTTCTGAGTCATTGAAGGATAGAGGCATATGAAACCTCGGCAGAAATGTCGGGTTGGAGAATGTCTGACATCATATTTTTTACTCTGTTAGAGAATATGTTGAATGCTTTAAACTTTCTCCCCAGAAAAATTTTACTTTAAATAATTTTATATAGAATTAATCAGATTCTCATGAAAAAGAATATCTTTTTTTTTTTTGAGACGGAGTTTTGCTCTTGTTACCCAGGCTGGAGTGCAATGGCGCAATCTCGGCTCACCGCAACCTCCGCCTCCTGGGTTCAGGCAATTCTCCTGCCTCAGCCTCCTGAGTAGCTGGGATTAAAGGCACGTGCCACCATGCCCAGCTAATTTTTTGTAATTTTTTTAGTAGAGACGGGGTTTCACCATGTTGACCAGGATGGTCTCGATCTGTTGACCTCGTGATCCACCCGCCTCGGCCTCCCAAAGTGCTGGGATTACAGGCTTGAGCCACCGCGCCCAGCCGAAAAAGAATATCTTAATAGCCCTTCCAAGGTAATTAAATACCAAATACCCACTATAGTTATCTATTATCAGTTTGATGGATAATGTTTAGAGTTTATTGTGTAATTTTAATCATGCTTTTAAAGAAGGTATTCTAGAAGTAAACAGTTGGTATTCCCTGGGTATTTGTTATGGTATTGTCTTTAATTTTAAAATTGCAATAAGTCCATCTTATTTATAGATACTCTTTTTCTTGTGCAAGGAATATTAACATGCAGTTAATTTATTTAATCTTAAATGAAATACAATTGATGTGAATTTTCTTTTTCTGTACTTCTGCATTACAGTTATTTTTGTTTCAGTATCATAAGTTAACTTGTCATTATTTGTTATTTAACTGTACCTTCTAAGAGTATTTAGAGTCTGATCTGGAAATATGCTTTTAGGTATTAAAGTTAAGGCAGAAAAATTATTGGAAGAACTTGATAATGGAGTACTGTTATGTCAACTGATTGATGTTCTTCAAAACATGGTGAAAACATGCAATTCTGAAGAATCAGGAGTAAGTTAATGTTTGAGAGTATTGATTTTATATCTTGGTACATATTAATTTATATACATTTCTTATCTCTAGAAAATTGTAAACTTCCATGCCAACTGGCTAGGTGACGTTGAATAATTTACTTAACCCTTTTCAAGATCTGGAAAAATGTTCTCTTTCGTAAAATGAGATTAACATTTCCCTTAGGATTTGATTTATTTGTAAGAGTTCAATCACATTAAATGAGAGAATGTATAGATGGTGTCTAACATAGTGCTTGATGCATAGTAGATCCAGCTCTGCTTGAGAACATTAACATAACTTCCTTATAGAATTGTTTTGAGGGTTAAATGGGAAAAGAGCTTGTGATAGTTCTTGGCATACAAGTAGCAGCTGCTATTATTATTATTTTCTTCTTTATATATTCTCCATATATTGCATTGGTGGTAAATTCTATAAGTGTTGATTGGATAAATAATTTTTTTAGACAGTTTTCATTCACTAACCCTGAAGTCATTATTTGAAGTGGATAAGGTTTCCTCTCTTTCCATCAAATATAGGTATTTTCAAGAGTTTGGGATCTGGAACTTTACACACAGTTGGTAGAAATATAAAGGAGTATCATCATTGTGTGGGCAGTGGATGATACATACATACATACGTGTGTGTGTGTATATATATATATATATATCTCACTGAAAATATTTTCAAAAATATTTTGTGGGTGCATAGTAGGTGTATATATGGGGTACATGAGATACTTTGATACAGGCATGCAATAAGTAATAAATCACCTCATAGAAAATAGGATATCTGTTTCCTCAAGCATTTATTCTTTGTGTTACAAGCAATCCAATTGTACTCTTTTAGTTATTTTAAAATGGACAATTAAATTATTATTGACTATAGGTAGTCACTCTGTTGTGCTATAGAATACTAGGTTTTATTCTAAGTATAATATTTTACAGCCTAAACCATCTCCACTTCACCCCACCTCCCACAACCCTTCCCAGCCTCTGCTAACTGTACTTCTACTCTTAATCTCCATGAGTTCAATTTTGATTTTTAGCACTCACAAATAAGTGAGAACATGTGATGTTTGTCTTTCTGTGCCTGATGTATTTCACTTAACATAATGACCTCCAGTTCCATACATGTTGTTGCAAATGACAGGATCTCAGTCTTTTTATAGCTCAGCGGTACTCCATTGTACATATGTGCCACATTTTCTTTACCTAGTCATCTGTTGATGGGCTTTTAGGTTGATTCCAAATCTTGGCTATTGAGAACAGTGCTTCAGCCAACACGGGAGTGCAGGTATCTCTTTAATGTACTGATTTCATTTCCATTGAGTATATACCCAACAGTGGGTTGTTGGGTCATATGGTAGCTCTATTTTTAGTTTAGTAAGGAGCCTCCAAACTGTTCTCGACAGTGGCTATAGTAATTTGTATTACCACCAGCAGTATATGAGGGTTCCTTTTGCTCCACATCTTTGCTAGCATTTGTTACTGCTGGTCTTTTAGATAAAACTTATTTTAATTGGGGTAAGATGATATCTCATTGTAGTTTTGATTTGCATTTCTCTGATAATTAGTGATGTTGCTGATTGATCATATACCTGTTTGCCATTTGTGTGTCTTCTTTTGAGAAATGTCTATTCAATTTTTTTGCCCATTTTAAAATAGGATTATTAGATTTTTCTCCTATAGAGTTGTTTCATCTCCTTATATATTCTTATGAATCCCTTGTCAGATTGTTTACAAATATTTTCTCCATTCTGTGGGTTGCTCTTCAATGTGTTGATTGTTTCCTTTACTGTGCAAAAGGGTTTTTAACTTGATATGATCCTGTTTATTTTTTATTTGGTTGCTTCTGCTTGTGGCATGTTACTCACGAAGTTTTTACCCAGACTGATCTCCTGGAGAGTTTCCCCAATGTTTCCTTGTAGCAGTTGCATAGTACAAGGTCTAAGATTTAAGACTTAGATTTAAGTCTTTAACACATTTTTATTTCATTTTTATATATGGTGAGAGATGGGGGTCAAGTTTCATTCTTCTGCATGTGAATACCCAGTTTTCCCAGCAAAATTTATTGAAGAGACTGTTCTTCTCAGTGTATGTTCTTAGACCTTTGTTATAAATGAATTCACTGTAGGTATGTGGATTTATATCTGTATTCTCTTTTCTGTTCCATTGATCTGTGTCTCTTTTTTATGCCAGTACCATATTGTTTTGGTTGAAGTCAGATAATGTGATTCTAGTTTTGTTCTTTTTACTCAGGACAGCTTTGGCTATTTTCATTCTTTTATGATTCCATATTAATTTTAGGATTTTTTTTCTATTTCTGTGAAGAATGTCATTGGTAATTTTATAAGGATTGCATCGAGTCTGTAGATTGCTTTGAGTAGTATGGACATTTTAACAATATTGATTCTTCCAATCCATGCACATGGAATATTTTTCCATTTTTTCGGTGTCCTTTTCAACTTCTTTCATCGGTGTTTTGTTTATTGAGGGGATATTTCACTTCTTATGTTAAGTTATTCCTAGGTATTTAATTTTATTTATGACTTTTGTAAATGGGATTTTTCTTTTATTTCTCTTTCAGATTATTGGCATAAAAATGCTACAGATTTTTGTAGTTGATTTTTGTGTCCTGAAACTTTACTGAATTTGTTTATTAGCTCTAATAGTTCTATTTTTTGGTATGTGTGTGTGGGGGGGTCTTTAGGTTTTTCTAAATATAAGATCATATCATCCGCAAACAAGAATGTTTGACATCCTCCTTTCTACTTTGGATGTCCATTCTTTTTTACTCTTGTCTGATTACTGTAGCTAGGACTTCCAGAGCTATGCTGAATAACAGTGGTGGACGTAGGCATCCTTGTTTTGCTCTAGACCTTAAGAGGAAAGGCTTTAGTGTTCCCCCATTCAGTATGATACTAGTTGGGGGTCCGTCATTATATGGCTTTTATTATGCTGAGGTATGTTCCTTCTCTACCCAGTTTCTTTAGGGTTTTTAACACAAAAGGATTTAAAATTTATCAAATGCTTTTTCAACATCAATTGAAATGATATATATGGTTTTTATACTTCATTCTGTCAATATGATGTATCACATTGATTGATTTGCATATGTTGAAACATCTTTGCATCCCTGGGATAAATCCCACTTGGTCATGATGAATAATCTTTTAAATGTATTGTTGAATTTAGTTTGCTAGTATTTTGTTGAGGATTTTTGTTTCAGTATTCATCAGAGATATTGGCCTATTGTCTTTGTTTTTTGATATGTCCTTGTCTGGTTTTGGTGTAATACTGGTCTCATAGAATGAGTTTGGAAGTAATCCCTTCTCTTCTGTTTTTCAGAATAGTTTGAGTAGGATTTTTATTTGTTCTTTAAATGTTTGGTAGAATTCAGCAGTGAAGCCATCGGGTCCCAGGCTTTTCTTTACTGGGAGGCCTTTTATTATGACTTTGAGCTTATTACTTGTTATTGGTCTGCTCTGGTTTTGTTGTTGAACAGTTGCTCAGTAGCCACTAATGATCCTTTAAATTTCTGTGGTATTAGTTGTAATGCCTCCTTTTTTGTCTCTGATTTTATTTGGGTCCTCTCTCTCTCTCTCTCTTTTTTTTTTTTGGTCTGACTTAAGATCTGTCAATTTTATTTATCTTTTCAAAAAACCAACTTTAGTTTTTGTTTATCTTTTGGTATTGTTTTTGTCATTTCAATTTCATTTATTTCTGCTCTGATGTTCATTATTTCTTTTCTTGTACTAATTTTGAGTTGATTTGCACTTGCTTTTTTAGTTCTTTAAGATGCATCATTAGGTTATTTATTTTAAGTTTTTCTTCTTTTTTGATGTAGGCACTTATAATTATAAATTTCTCTCTTAATACTGTTTTCACTATATCCCATACGTTTTGGTATTTGTGTTTTTGTTATTATTTGTTTCAAGAAAACTTGTCAACTTTCTTCTTAATTTCTTCACTGATGTACTGATCATTCAGGAGCATATTGTTTAATGTCCATGTGTTTATATTGGTTCCACAATTACTCTTGTTATGGATTTCTAGTTTTATTTTATTGTGGTCAGAGAAGACACTTTATATTATTTCAGGTTTTATGTTTAATGTTTTAGGACTTGTTTTGTGACCTAACATATGATCTCAGCTTGAGAATGATCCATCAGCTAAGGAGAATAAAGCAGCTGCTGGATGAAATGTTCTATAAATATCTCTTAGGTCCTTTTATTCTATTGTGAAGATTAAGTCTGATGTGTCTTTTCTGATTTTCTGTCTGGAAGATGTGACCAATGCTGAAAGTGGGGTGTTGAAGTCTGTAGCTATTACTATATTAGAGTCTTTCTCTCTCTTTAGCTGTAATAATATTATAATATAACAATATTTATTTATAAATCATAAATGTATTTTATAAAACTAGAAATTTTATAAAACTAGAAATCCATAACAAGAGTAATTTTGGAAACAATATAAACACATGGAAATTAAACAATATGCTCCTGAATGACCAGTGGGTCAATGAAGAAATTAAGAAGAAAATTGACAACTTTTCTTGAAACAAATAATAAAGAAAAAACATACCAGAATATAATATATTATTATATATTATATATATTATATTCTATTTGGCATTTACTTTCTCTTATTAAAGAAGAAATGTTTTGGTATTTGTTTTTTCTTTTGGTATTATTTATATTAAATAATATATAATATAATTATAAAAATAATATAATATTTATCTGAGTGCTCTAGCATTGGGTGCATATATATTTAGAATTTTTATATCCTCTTGCTGAACTGACCTCTTTTTCATTATATAATGACCTTTGCCTCTTCTTACAGTTTTTGTCTTAGAATTCATTTTTTCTGATATAAATATAGCTACTCCTGTTCTTTTTTGCTTTCCCATTGGCATAGAATATCTTTTTCCATCCCTTTATTTTCAGTCTATATGTGTATTTATGGGTGAAGAGTGTTTCTTGGAGGCAACAGGTA